AGTTATTCCCCTTGACACTGCTATTACTGAATGCTAATACGACTGTCACATCTGGTCTGGTGCCTCTACTATGTATTTAGAAACCCTAGATAAAATACAAAGAATCTGCAATGTTATTGATCCTCACCTAGCACTTCAGCTTCATTTACTTCTCCCACTGCCGTAATGTAGCTACACTCTGCCTTTTCTATAAATATTTCCATGGTAATTGTTCTGGTGAGATTTCCTTTTTGGTACCTAGATTTTATAAATTTAAGTGCAGTACTAGATTGGCGGTTAGGTCTCATCATTTTACACTTGGGAAACCTAGATGTACCCGAAAGTTCTATGTTAACAGTTTCTTCTCTCGCACTTCTCACTTATCGAACTCTCTTACGGCTTCTTGCTTTGATATTCAAAACTTTAAATGCAATGTCAATCGTTATATTTTGTCTTCTTAATTCCTCTTCTTTTATTGTTCTCTTTTCTTAATAAAGTTTTTTTTCCCTCGTATTCTTTGACCCACTATAAACACTTGTGTCTCGTTATTTTAAAATCATTTCTTTTGTAAATAAACAATCTCATAAATAAATAGTGTTCAACATTTTTACTGTCAATTCTCGAGGGAAAAAAAACAAAACATAAAAGACCAGTTTCATATGGCTGGGTTCATTAACATTCTAAAAATATATCTTTTTTATTGTAATAACTATTGCCCAGCGAGTATGCCATAATAGCGATGTCAAGAGAAAAACGTCCTATAAAACGCTGTTTTTTGCACGAATGTTTGTTAAACTTATCCTAAATGTTCTTCCTCTATGTATAGCTGGCCACTCGTATTCGAGGATACCCTCTACTAAGGAGGCTAGCGAATCCCTTTTGCAGACGCTTGCTCAGGTGCATTTTGTTTTTATTCAACACCCACAGATCCCACCTATGGTTTATACTGCGACTATGCTGAGCAGACCTTAGTTACAGTTTCTGGGAAAGAACGGGTTATCTGGCGTGATCAACTTATCTGGCGTGATCAACAATTTGAACAACACCAGCACACCCAAACCCTCGGTCACGATGACTTATGACTTCGTGCTAGCAGTCTACCCAATTTCACTCGCAAGGCTTGGGTCAACCCTTGTTACAGTTTTCAGGCACAAAGATGCTGCACGCTGGGATCAACCCCTCCAGTTCGATAACATGGGGAAGTCTCCTTCCTGACAAATCGACCATAGTGAGATTCGAACCCGGGTCTTATGGTCAGAATGCGAACGTTCTAACCACTCAGCCACTTGTTCTATAGTTCACAGACATTTACACTATTTACATTGTTCGGACTGTTTCCTTCATCTTTATTGTCATATTCCCGAAGTTTCAGTCGTTGGAATTTCGACGCGAAGCATTTATTTAGTCCACAGGGGTAGATTTTTTCTAGTTTTCTGTTAATTCCCTTTAGTAATTCAACTTTCCAAGTGGATAAAAGCGTTGGTTGAAGCAAACCAAAAGTGATTTGACTCAAAGACTTGTGAGTTCAATTCATGGGCACAGCAGAGGTGGACAAAAACAATGTATTGCGATTCAATAAAGCGGAAATAAATAATTCACAGCTCAAATAGACGCCAATGAACCATTTAATTATTTCCTTTCCTTTATATTTTTTAGATGTTTAATCGTATCTATGATTCATTGATTACTACTGGTATTATATAAATCACTTTTTGTTCTATATTTTTCCTTGTTAAAAAAAAATGTGTTTAAATTAACAGTGAAACAGAAATATCTCGGAGGAAAAAGATTAGTAACATAACGACAAAGACGACGACGACAAAGCGTATTTTAAGACTAAGTTAAAGCGACACGATCACTTAACAGAACAACTGTGTCTGAATACCTCATTAAGACTGCAATTGAAGAAACCGAAAAGTAAAGGAATTGATTAATTACACGCTTCATTTTGCTCGTGAACTAATTTTGTCTAAATACTTAACAACAGGAAGAGGCAGCTAAAGTTTCTGGGACACGTAATTAGAAAAGAGGGCCTGGAGAATATGAGACTCACAGGTCGAATAGAGGGAAAGAGAGAAAACATTATTATAGGATTATTATTATTATTATTATTATTATTATTATTATTCGCTTGCCGTCTATTGATGGTAATTATCAGAAAGTTCAATGAAACAAAAGTTTGAAACAATATAAAGCGAAGATAAATAATTCACTTTAGACGCCAATGAACCATTCAATTAATTCTTCCCTTTATATTTTTTAGGTGTTTAATGCTATCTATGATTCATTGATTACTCCTGGTATTATATAAACCACTTTTTGCTCAGTATCTTTCCATGTTAAAAATGTTATGCGTTTAATATAACAGCGAAATGGAAATATCTCAAAAGATTAGCAACATAAAGACGACGACGACGACGACGACGACGACGACGACGACGACGACAAAGCCTATTTCAAGGCCAAATGGAAGCAAGATAATCACTTAATAGATAAGGGTATCCGAGTGAATGAAAGGCTTGAACAAATGTAAAAAACGTAGGGGTAAAGGAACTGATTACATAAACGGTTCATTCTGCTCAGGAACTAATTTCGTTTAAATGCAGATAAATATTTTATTTTTATAAATTATTAAAACGACTAAAGGAAGTAATCCCTTATAAATGTATTAACTTAAGTTGATCTCTCTTCCTTCCACTACAGATGAGACAAGAAATACATAAATGAATACAACGGAAATATATAAATAAACACACATTGTTAAGTATTATATCATTTGATGGTAAATAATAAATATTGCATTGTAGTTGGTTCATATGTTTTATAATCTTCTAAATATGGAATTCCGTCCTGGGTAAGACGATAAACCGCATACGCGTCCTGGGTATGACGATAAACTACGTCCAGCAGCAAGGCCTCTGACCAGAAGATTTTGAGGAGCGTGGAACCACCACTTAATTGCTAGTGTTCCCAAGTCCACCCTGACCCGGGTTGGTAGCACCTGTTAGGGTCCCAGCTATGGGCAAATAGATGAACCCACAACCTGACTATGAAAGTGTAAAAATAGATTTTAATACCAAAAATACTTTGTAAAAAAATTACTATCAGCAATAAATTTTTGAAAAAGATCTTACCAGCAATAAAAATCTTGCCAGTATTAAATAAGCCATCGAGGTTGATACGCTACAAAACAAAACAAACCAAACTATACATTTTTGAAAAAATTACCAGCTATACATTTTTGAAAAAAAAAAGGTAAATTTTGTCAGCATTAAATAACCCATTGTGGTTGATATGCCATAAAACAAAACAAAGAAATACATATTCTATTTATACGAACCTATTCTAAAAATCTTGTTGGCATTAAATAACCCATTGAGGTTGATGTGCCGTAAACAAAATAAACCAAACCAAATATGGAATTATTTTTGTAAATAAACAAGCTAATAAATAAATGGTGTTTAATAATTTTGTTGTCAGGTCTCAAGAAAAAAAAATAAAAGTCTTAGTTTCATTTTTGCCTATATTTCTGAGATGACGTATTGTAACTATTTACATTATTTACAGTCTCCGAACTGTTTTCATCATCTTTGTTGGTACATTCACAACGTTTCGGTCGTCGTACGCCCCGGCCTTCTTCAGGTGATATTTTTTAGAATTTCGAATCGAACCCTTTATTTAGTATACGGGGCTATTTGTCCTAATTCTAAGTGCCATACATTTAGATATTTCAGTTTTAAAATTATTCCGCTTGATAAGTTTTTATTCTCGCTGCTGTGCCCAGGGATTGAACTCAGAACTCTTTCGGTGAAATAACAATTGGATCAATCGACCAACGTCTTTATCCACTTGGAAACACATAACCAAAGCGTACAACGGCTGAAATATAGTGAATATGGCATTAATTATGAGGACAACAATCTGAACAAAGTAAATAGTGTAATTAGTTTAATATTTGCTTGTTATTAAATTGTTAAATCTAACTTTTTGGAACAATGAAAATTGCCGGGGTGGGTATGCGGTATGAGCGGTTTGAATAGAAAATCTTTCCTGTTTACACACCGTTTCTACGGGTATGTTTGTTAATCTTTATCAAAAATGGGAAAAATATTCGAAAATTATCAAGTAACTTTGAAATGTTATAATTACCCGAACGTCTGCTTCGGTACCCACAATCTTAGCTTGAAAAAGGAACTGGTTAATCCTGGGAGCAAATGAGACGACCTGCTGTCGCTTTCATAGCACATGAAGACAACAGGAAAACAGAGAGGATGAAATATTGATCGAAATTCAGTGGTAATAGAAATGGCAATGAGAAAAATGTTGCCAATAATACAAATGAAGAAAATAAAAAAATATATATATAAAAAAAAAATGGCCTAAAAGGAAATGCATAATGTTGTAAAAGTTAAATAAAACGGAAATGGGTGTAGTGGCATCAATTCTCATCATAAAACGCAAAAGATGGAGCCAAGGAAATAAAAGACTTCCTTTGAAGCAGTAACCTCGGTAACGGAGGAATCCGGATATGAGTTATGACATCAAGTGACATGCATAAACAAAATGGCGGAGCATCCGGCTAAAGTATTCACGGTGATTAGACGAACTCTTTGACTTCATTGCTTCGTCCGCAGTGGCTGTCTACGAGGCTTCAGGTCTTGGCTGTTAATTCGAAGCGGAGACGTCTGCAGTTGAATCAGGAGAGTAGAAGCTTTACAAGATGGACGGTGGGAAATGCAATGTCTCTGACGCAAGATAGCGGCACCGGTTGTAATTACACCCATTCTAGGCCAGTATCGCGATGAGATAGGGTAACTTTCATTTTGTATTATTATTTTTTTTTTTTCTAACCAAAACGGCTTACTTTTTTTTTCTTTCATCCTTTTCTTTCATTGACTTTTGACTTTCTCACTTCGGAATAATAATTCTTTCATTCATTCATTCACTGATCAAATCTTTCTTTTTTCCTTTTCACTCCTACCCTAAATATTTCCTTCGTTCATTTTTCTTTTTATCTTTCAATGGTTAAATCTTTCTTTTTCGTTTTTAATCATGTCATAAGCTTTGCTTTCTTTCTTTCTTTCTTTCTTTCTTTCTTTCTTTCTTTCTTTCTAATCTTAATTCATTTATTCATTCATTTATTAAATATCTCTTTTTCATTTTCAGCCCTGCCCTTTCTTTCTTTCTTTCTTTCTTTCTTTCTTTCTTTCTTTCTTCAATCATTGATTAAATATTTCTTTTTCATTTTCAATCCTGCCATAAGTTCAATCATTTTTTCTTTCTTTCTTTCTTTCTTTCTTTCTTTCTTTCTTTCTTTCTTTCTTTCTTTTTCGTAAACTTAATTTATTTATTTGTTCACTGATTAAATATTTATTTTCATCTTTCACACCTACCATAAGCTTTTCTTTCTTTCTTTTTTCTTTCTTTCTTTCTTTGTTTTGTTTCTTTCTATCTTTCTTTCTTTTTTCTTTCTTTCTTTCTTTCTTTCTTTCTTTTTTTTCTTTCTTTCTTTCTTTCTTTAATACCTTCATTCATTGTTTAAATCTTTTTTTTTATTCCTCATTCTTTCAGTTTTGTATCCAAGGCATACTGTTCTTTGAAAACTAATTTCAGAAAATAACTTAAAATCATGTTCAAAGTTAAATAAGAGAGTTGTCGGGACCGGAGAAGAAGTATCTTATATCCGGGTTTCTCTTATATCCGGGTTTGGTCTATTTTATATACATTAACACAGGCACTAATTTGGGACCAGAGAAAATCTCTCTTATATCCGGGTTTCTCTTATATCCGGGTTTCTCTTATATCCGGGTCTCTTATATCCGGGTTACACTGTATCGTCTTGTAACAATAAAGACACAAAAATTCGATATTCCGGTTTTCTATTGTACGAGAAACTTGTGTCCCCCCCCAACCCCGTCCAGGAGACCCGTCCAGGAGACCCGCCTAGGAGCCCCGCCCGGGAGCCTCGCCATGTCACCAATTTACAGTTCAAATAGGCGCCAGTTCACTCTCTCAGATGTCGGCTTGCTTTCCACCTCTCTTGTTCGATGCCACTGATTTTATAGGCCCATTTGAAGTGGGGTACGCTGATCCTTAGCCAGCACGTTCGGGTTATCCCATCAACCGTTTTCTGTGATAAAGAACAGAACGGGTTTGACCCACTATGTACCTGACTGCTAGATCCAGACCAGGCCTATAATGGAGCAGTTCTGTCAGGATCTTTGTCAGGAGCTGCCCAGTCCACACTTTCTAGTCTCGATAGAGTTCAAAAGCGTCTTCACGTAATTGTGGGTGACAAATTATTTTCTCTCCTGCAACCCCTTTCCCACAGAAGGGATGGGGCAAACCTCTCACTGCTCTATCGCTACTACCATGGAAATGGTTCGTATTAACTGAATTCCTTGGTTCCATTAGTTTTAGCCCTCCCGGCTAGAACCCGCCATGCGACGCACATTGTAATAAACCACCATCATTCTATCCATATTTCATTGATGAGATGCAAGTTCCACTCGAGTAACTCCTCGCAACAGAGTGCTCTGTGGAACCGACTCCCAAGAGGATGTTTTCCCGATCATTACAATCTTAACCTGTTCAAGTCTAGGAATAATCGTAATCTACCCCACATAGCCGCATAAACTATACCTTCAATACTGAAACTCTCTAGCTGGAGTGGCTCATGGGGCTTGTACATAGTGAATATCGATGCAAAAAAGAAAATAGACAGATAGATAGATAACGAGCACACACGGATAGATAGATAGATAGATAGATAGATAGATAGATAGATAGATAGATAAGTGTTCAAGTCTCGGGTTAATCTTCCTCACATATCCGCATAAACTGTACCTCTAACTCTGTAACTCTCTAGCTGGATTGGCTCTTGTGCAGGGGAATATCATTAAAAGAGAAATAAAATAGTTAGATAGATAGATAAATAAAATGAATATATCAATAAAATATATAAATATATAACTATATAAATAGTTAGATAAATAAAATAAATATATAAATAAAATAGATAGATAGATAGATAGATAGATAGATAGATAGATAGATAGATAACGAGCATACACGGATGATTATTGAAGTGTAGGGTTAACCGTTATCTTCCCCACATATCTGCATAAACAGTAACTCTAACACTGTAACCCCCTAGCTGGACTGGCACTTGGAGATTGTACAGGGAAATATCATTGCAAGAAAAAGAAAATAGATAGATAGATAAATAGATAGATAGATAGAAATATAGATAATGAGCATACATGGATAGATGGATGAATATTCAAGTGTAGGATTAACCGTTATCTTCCCCACATATCCGCATAAAATGGGCCTCTAGCTGGAGTGGCTCTTGGGGCTTGTGCGGTGGGAATATCACTGTAAGAAAAAGAAAATAGGTTTATAGATAGATAACGCGCATACACGGATAGATGGATAAATATTCAAGTGTAGGATTAACCGTTTATCTTCCCCAGATATCCGCATAAAATGGGCTTCTAGTTGGAGTGGCTTTTGGGCCTTGTGCAGTGAGAATATCATTGTAAGAAAAAGAAAATAGATAGATAGATAGATAGATAGATAGATAACTATCATACATGGATAGATAGCTGAATAGTCAAGACTAGGGTTAATGATTAACTTCCCCACATATCCGCATAAAATGGGCTTCTTACGCTGTAACACACTACCTCGAGTGACTCTTGGGCCTTTTAAAAATTAAATGAAAGTATAATAGGATTCTGGTATCTGTTTCATGTCAGTTTCAATTTAGCCTCTCACTGATCAGACGTCACGATGGCAAGACAGTCTCTAGCATAATCATTTCATCCGACAAGTTATCTTTCAACATTATCAAGTTGAAATCATCGTT